CTGCCTCCCAGTCTCTGACTCTGGAGGAGCTGAGAGCTCAGGGCCCCCCTGTTCAGTGAGCCCTCTGCGAAAAGCAGTCAGTCACTCCTCTGTTGCCCTGGTCTCCAGCTGCACTTTGTGCTCACCCGGCCTGTGACCCAGGGTTTCTATCTACAGCACACGGCCCTGTTTGGAGTCTTGAAACCCAGCTGATTCCTGCAGTGTGCTCCCATGCTGCTCCTCTCAGTGGAAGAAGGGGGGGGTCTCCCTGGATCTGCCACTTGTGGGGTCCCTGCTTGAAGAGCAGTGGTGTGACTATTCCGGGAATTAGTTTATGGCAACCCCAAGCTGCCCCCTCCTCAGCTCAGTCTTTGCAGCTGGCTTCCCTGCTCCGATACCTAGGGAGTTCTGCCACTCTCAGGCACCCCTGGTCTTTCTGTGACCCCAAGGGTCCTGAGACCACACTGACCCAGTGAGGATTCCACTCCCCTCTTAGCCACTGGAGCAACATTCCTCTGCGGAGCAGACTTCTAAAAGTTCTTATTTTGTGCTCTGCTGCTCTCCTCCCACCCCCATCTTCCCATATATCACCTTGGATTCACTTCCTCACATATCCTATGTTCCAGAAGGTGGTCGCTTTTTGTTCACAGAATTGCTGCTATTCTTTTCTTTGATCTCCTGTTGAGTTTGTATGTGTTCAGAATGGTTTGATAACTATCTAGCTGAATTCCTGGGACCAGATGACGTTTAGATTTCTTACTCCTCTGCCCTCTTGCTCCTCCCTCAGTGTGAGGTTTATTTTATTTATTTGTTTATTTATTTATTTTTTTAAAAGATTTTATTTATTTATTTGACAGAGGGAGATCACAAGTAGACAGAGAGGCAGGCAGAGAGAGAGATTGGGGGGGGGAAGCAGGTTCCCCGCCGAGCAGAGAGCCCGATGCGGGACTCGATCCCAGGACCCCGAGACCATGACCCGAGCCGAAGGCAGCGGCTTAACCCACTGAGCCACCCAGGCGCCCCTATTTTAAACTTTTAAAAAGTCTATTCCATCAATAGTGTGTTCTTTCATTTGTTTTACAGTGTCTCGCTTTCTGTTGGCTCCATCTTACCTTCTGAATAGACTCAACATTTTCTCTCTTTAAACTTTTCTTTCAATTTTATCTCCTTGCGTTTCCTTTACTGCCCGGGTTCATAACTTTCGTTTCATATCAGGGCTGAGATACAGGGTAAGGCGAATGAGATGCCTAGGGGACGAACATTTCAGGAGTCTCTCTCCAAGTCCTGCAAGTGCAGGGTGTGGGGTAGGTACTAGCATGATTTTGCTTTTATGAATTTTGCATCCTAGGTGCCTGGCATGCCTTACCATAGTCCTGGCTCTTCTGCTTAAATTTCTCATTAGTGGATATTCATTAAAAGCTGTTTCTGCTCTAAATAGACTTCATTTATTCAAATTTTTGGGCACATCCTCTCTGCAGTATGCATTGTGCCAGGTTTGGGGAATATAAAGGGTCTTAAGACACCACTCCATTGTTTCTTCAGATTTACTCCTTCTCAAGTCTAGTGCCTATCCCCCCATTCCACCTCGTTTCTGCATTTTTGTACTGTGGGGCACTGTTGATCATTACTGTCTGTTCATCCTAACCCCAGCCCATCTCTTTAGAATATACAGCTATTTTCGTGACAAGACACCCTCTCTGGGAACTAGTGGGCATTTGGGCAATACATCAGTGTCCCTCACTGGTGGGGATTAGGAATTGACTTGTCCTTTCAGTGTGTTAAGGTAGGGGTGCCCAGGATTTCTCCTGGGTTAATGGGCCTTTCGACCTATGTTGTTGGGAAGGTTCTTGTTCATTCATACTCTGCTTAGTATCTTCTCTGTTTGGAATCTTTCCTTCTCCTTCCAGTACTTTGATACCCAGAGGCAAGCTGATTTTCTGCCCAGCTATTTGGCTTACTCTTGCCAACTTTGTTTCCTGAGTCCTGTGTTCTTTTCCTATTCTTTGCTGACTTGTTTTTAATGTAGTTTCTTTGAATGATCCTGCTCTGCTTATTTTTGAAAATAAGAACTGAAAAAAACTTGAAATGAAAAACTGCTTATTCATGAAAATAAACACATCTACTCATTTAAGAAGTGAATAATGAATACATATTCCACCCCAGGTACTATAGGAGTCACTGTGGTTATAACAATGAGCCCAACCAAACATTCCTTGTAATCCTGAGTTAGAGAGACAAGGTAGGTATAAATCACGCCATCTGGGGGGTGGGGTGGTATTTGCTGTGAAGGAAAGTTAGAGATGCAGCTGATCTTGGGACATTTGAGTTGAGATCTCCGTCTTCATTTCACTTAACTAATAGTCAGTTTTGAGCTCTTGCCTGCATCAGGACTTGATACAAAGCACCCATTTCCAGTTCTGGCCTTTGGTTTTGTATTGTCTTTTTCCCACTTGCAGCTTGTCCCCAACCCTTTACCTTAACCTTGGCTGCCATGAATTCTATTCTTACTAGTAGTGGTTGTCAGTCATGATCATTAACTTGTTCTCCTTTGGAAGTTATTTTCTACCTTGTTTTCTTAACATTTGACTCTGTTGGTTCTTTTCCTACATCTTTGTTAGCTTCTTTGTTATATTTTCTACTTCTTCTTTGCATTTCCTAAAAGTTGCCCTAACCCAGATTTTGTCCTGGGCTCCTTCTGTATCAGCTTATCCTTTCTTGGCAGTCTCATCCATTCTAGAAAACTCTGGGTTACCATTTTTATGCAAATGGATGGCTAATATATCTAATTTATCCTCCAGTTTCCAAAGATTTGAGGTAGATGTATTCATAGAGGCACATTTCCATGTGTACAGGTATGCATAGAGGTATATGTTCACATAGAGATAGGGAACACCCTAAGTGGAATTCATTATCTTTAACTCAGTGATGTTATAATCTCCCAGTCTCCTTGCTTGAAATCTCGAACATTTCCCACCTTCTTGCTCTCAAGATTCCAGATCTGCCTGTCTGCCGCGTGGTGCCAATTTGTCCAGTGTAATAAATAATACCATGTCATGGGTTTCTTCTTTTCAGTGTGTGCTTGTTCAGCTCTAGTTCAGGCTTTCTTTTCTTTCTCCCCTGTCTGTTCTGTTTCTTTCCTAAGGTGCAGCTGCCACTGTCTTTCTCAATTCCAGATGACTGAATCCTGTGCCAGGTTCATTTTTCCTGAAACACAATTCTGATCTTTCGTTCTTCTGCTCATTCATGCTTCAGAAATTCCTTACTGCCTTTGAAAAGCGGGCTGGTTTTCTGGACCTTCCAACTTGTTTTATTTGCCTTGCCACTACCTCCTTCATACAGGCTGGACTCTCTCCAAATGGAATTAATGTTGTAAGAACCTGCCTGTGTTTTTCTGTTTGTGTCTCTACTTTTGTTTCCTTTTGCCAGCAGCATGCTTTTCTCACATTCTCAGTTCTTCCTTCACAGCTTTCCTGAAGCTCTCTCAGATTTTCTGACCCACAGGTACTTTCTTTCTTCCATCATAGGTACATTTACCCATACTTAAAAAAATAGAGTGCTTATCACTTCCCAACTTGTATTGTTATATTGGTATGATTTTTAGAAATCTAATTAGCTTTTGTATTTTTCATTGTGCCTAGTATAGTACACTGTCCAAGTATTTGTTGAATTAATAAGTGGATGAATGCCTTCTGAATTAAACCATCAGATAGTCTGGCCTCCTCTGTGCACCCTTCCCATTACCTTGTTGTTTATCTAAGACCATCTGTTTCTCTCCCTTTTTGCCTTTTTTTTTTTCCACTTTACCCCTGAATCTCTTCATGTATTGCTATGTGGCCTGTTATCCTTTGTCGTTGTAGCTTCTCTTTTCCTGAGTAAGTATTAATTTCACTTTAGAGAAAAATTATATCATTTCAGTGAAAGATGTATGTGGGAAATTTACAGGAAATGGAAGCTAGTGTTGAGAATGACATCTTGATACATTTTATGGGAAAGAAGCCTGCCCACTAGGATTTTGGAAATTTGCAAGTATAGGCTGGAATCCCTGGGCTGGTGGCCAGCTAAGAGTAGAAAGTAGAAGTTGTGATGATGTGTTCAGTATCCAGGTGGAAGGCCAGCGGCCAGCTCCACGGCCCTGGACTCCAGTCTACTGATCCAGGCAGCTGCCTTAGATTCCTTAGAAGCAGTTGCCTTGAGCTTGCGGACAAATGATTGGTTTGAAGTGATTTCAGGTAGAAGTAGGGACATAGATGTCTAACTGCAGTGTTGCCATTTTTTGAAAGCTAGTGAATCACCTGGGTTCCCTGCATAGTTTTGGATATCCAGTTGTGGCTGTGAATTAGATTTTGTTGATGAATTCCAAAGGAATTAATTTACTTGGTTTAGTCAACAAACGTCATTTGCTCAATGCGAAACTTAGTAAGTGCTGCATCTTTTAAGTCCTAGTTTAGTACCTATTTCATTATAGCCTTGAGATCCCAGATCTTTATACCTTTTTTCAAAATTCTATTCCCTCCCACTCTTACCCATTTCAGAAGCTGAATGGAACTGCAGAGCTCTTTCATCCCTGCCTCATTGCCCTGTTTGTGGAGGTTTTTAGTTGAAGTGGCCCAGACAAGCAGGCTAGCGATACCTTGCAAAGAAACTCAGGACAGATGGTGTGCTTGTCTAACTGCCTAGGAGAGAGTGACACAAGGACACAGGAGGTCCCCCCTCCCACAATGGTTTTTTTTTTTTTTTAAGATTTTATTTATTTGTGACAGAGATAGAAAGTACAGGTAGGCAGAGCAGCAGGCAGAGGGAGAGGGAGAAGCAGACTCTCCACTGAGCAGGGAGCCTGATGTGGGGCTCAATCCCAGGACCCCAGGATCATGACCCGAGCTGAAGGCAGCCGCTTAACCGACTGAGCCACCTAGCCACCCGCCCCGTCCCAGTGTTTTTATCATGCACGTACTACATTTCTGAGAGCACAGAGGACACCATAGTTAAGTGCTCATCAGTCACCTGTCTCTCTTTGGTTTCAGCTAGTGACAACTGAGCTACTCAAGGCAGGAAGAACTCTGAGCTGAGCAGTGGAGGCCCCCCCTGGATCTGGAGAGAAGAGGTGACCTTGGAACCAGTAATGAGCCATCCTGACTTCAGGCTGAACCTCCGGCCCTTGGGGACCCCCAGAGGTAGCAAAAGGAAAATGGAGTCTCTTCTAGCAACTGGAGACCTGAAATAAAATAACAGTGAAATGGAGGCACAGGGCGGGTCTGGGGCTGAGGGCCACCATAATTCTTTTGATGACCTGTTAAATATTCTTCCATGTTATTTATTCTAGAATTAAGTGTGGTTTCTTGTTGTCTTAATTTATTATATTGAGTACAGCTGTTTAGTTTTCCTCTAGAAAAGAGACACTCTTTTAGTAATTCCTATTTTAAAAAGTTTGTGTCTATAAACAGCAAAGCATATTGAACCCATTATTCAGATTATGTTCTCTGCATGTTGTGGTTCTGATTTAAAACTTAAGTCTCATCCATGTACGTTTTATGCATGTTTCCTCATTTTACGCTTGTTACCTATTCTTTCCTTTTTGTGACTATTTGAAATCATTATCCGATCATTTCATTCTTTTATTAGTCTTTCTACATTAAAAAAAAAAGGTAAAATATCTCCAGTTTAAAAATACAGAGGTGCTTGGTTGAGGAAAGAGTTGATTGCTGCCTCATGTTTCTAGGTGTGTCCTCTGTGGTTGGCCCACATGGTGTTGGTGCTTCGCCAGGTGACAAAAAGTCAAAGAACAAGTCCATACGAGGGAAGAAAAAGAGCGTATTTGAAACCTACATGTCCAAGGAGGATGTCTCAGAAGGCTTGAAGAGAGGAACACTTATCCAGGTGCTTAAAACATACTGGGCGGCTATTCCTTGGCTGTGTGGAATCAGAAGTAACCCTTGGCTCATTAAACTGTTTATTCTGCATTGTGTGCTTGAGGGACATGGCTCAAGAGCAGGCCCAGGGCTTCCCACTTCTTATACCCACAGTGCAGTTCGGGGTGCTAAGCACCACAAGACAGAGCAAGTGCTCTGAGATTTGAGAGGAAGGAGCCATTACTTAGAGTTGTCTAGGAATTGTTTATTTGGTCTAGAAGTGCTTAATTGGAAGGGATGTATTGGACCAGTTGGTATAGTTGGAACAAGTGACGATAAGAGAAAGAGCTTTCTGGACAGACAGACCAGTGTGCGCTACTAAGACCAAAGTGGAAAATAGGGTTTGGCTGTAAGGAGCACTGATAGTTGAGTTTGCCGGGAGCACGTGGACACTAAGTGATGGAGACAAGGGTTGAGAAGGAACCAGTAAACAGCACCAGACAATATTTGTTGAGCACTTTATAGTCTACAGAATACTTTTTCAAGCTAGCTCAGTGGTTCGGCTCAGCAGAAATTTGTTGAGCATCCGCTGTGAGCTGGGAACAGTACACAGTTAGGAGTGTGCCGCCTGGGTGCTCCCAAGGCGAAGGTAGATGAGACTGGCTTTCTGTTCTCCCAGCTCACAGCCCAGGGTGGGCAGGCAGTCATGGGAATGAGTGATTTAGGGATAGATGGTAAGTGCTCAAATGAAAGTGTTACTGGGGTGTGGGAGGGTGTTGGGGGGAACTGGGAGCCTGGAGGAGGTGACTTCTTGGTGGGTATGGGAGGATGACTAGTTGGGCCTATTACATGAGTGCTATGTATGTGAGAAGGAGGTGTGGGGAGGGTGGGGCACCGATGAAAACATGACTGGTGAAACAGTGTGGAGGAAGGCAGCGTAGGTCTCCTTGGGCATGAACTATGAGGTAGGAAGTAGGTAATGAGATGGAGAGTGAGGCAGGGCACATATTCTTTGAATTAAGTGTATTTTAGAATTATGGGATTGGTAAATAGAGGCATGGCCATGTGTTATGTGGCTCGCTTGAAAATGTTGGTTGTGGGGCTGCCTGGGTGGCTTAGTGGGTTAAGCCTCTGCCTTCAGCTCGGGTCATGATCTCAGGGTCTTGGGATCGAGTCCCACATCGGGCTCTCTGCTAGGCAGGGAGCCTGCGTCCTCCTCTCTCTCTCTACTTGTGATCTCTCTCTGTCAAATAAATAAAATCTTTAAAAAAAAAAAAAAAGAAAATGTTGGTTGTGTTCCATTCTGAATGCATTCTCTCATTCCTCTCATTCTGAGAGCCCAGCTTCTATATTTGTGGTTTTGGACAAAGACCCAGCCAGTGAACAGCTACTGTCATCTTCTTTTCCTTTTTAATTACCTTTTTGTATTTACTTGTAGTCAAGTGCACATATGATTAATGTAGACTCTTTGATTGGAACCTTTTGACTCCCTCCAGCCACTCCCTGCCCTTCTCCTGTATCCTTGCCTCCTCTGGCAACTACCTGTCTGTATCTCTGAGGTTTTTTGTTTTGTTTTGTTTTTTTAAGATTCCACATATAAGAGATCCAACAGTACTTGGCTTTCTCTGTTTGGCCTATTTCACTTAGCAGGTCACTTTGAGGTCCATCAGTGTGGTCACAAATGGCAAGATATCATCCCTTTTTTATTTCTGAGTAATATTCCATTGTATGTGTATGTATACACCATGATCTCTTTATCCATTCCTCCATCAATGGGCACTTAGGTTGTTTTCATAACTTGTGTATTATAAATAGTGCCTCAGTGAACATGGGTGCTCATATCTTTTTGTGTTAGTGTTTTTATTGACTCTTGAATGGAAAACTTTTTAACAAACAAGTTGATCTTTCTGATTTTAGAGGTACTGTTAGCACCCCCCCCCTTTTCTTTAACTTTCTTTGGATTTCTTTGATGAGGCCTCTCTTAGGAGAGTTGAATCTGCATTTGGACATTTGTCCCTTCATTAATCCATTCATTTGCTCTTTATCCTTCAATCCACATACTGAGCTCCATTTTATCTACAAGTTTCTTGGCCCTCATCTTGTTTCATGTATGAGGACCCTTTTGTGCCTTTCCCACTTTCATCTCTTGCCACTCTCCTTCAGGTACATGCTGCTCTGTTCACCCTGCCCTGATCTTTAAGACCTGTCCTGTAAAAACTCTGCTGTTTGCTTTTTCCATGACTCTGTACGCACTGTTCCTAGTGCTTGGAATGCTTTCTCCCATTATCTTGATGTAATTGTGCTTGAACTTTAAGTCCCTACCTAAATATTACCCCCCTTTGAGAAGCCTTATTTTAATTCTCCAAGCAGAATTGGCCATGACTGCTTTCTTGAAGCTGACTTTGTTGTTTACCCTTTATGCTAAACTTATTACCGTTTCTTGGTATTTATGTTTCCTCAAATAGACCATTCACTTTCTTGTGGGGAGAGCTGTGTCTTATTCCCACAAATTAGCCCAGTGTGTGACATTTGATTGATGCATAATAAGTTTATATTGAATAAATATTTATTTACTGAATGAATAAAGGATCAAGATACTGTCTTTTGAAGATGGGTGAAGGAAACTCTGTTATAACTTGGAAGAAAAATTGCTTCTAATTTTGGTTATAGAATTTATAGAGTTAGGATGAGGAAAATATTCTGGAATGATACAGTTTTTGCTCCTTCCTATTAACTTTTGCTTTTGAAGCAACTCTTTGCTGAAATTAAAACAAAACAGAAAGCTGATCAATGTAACAACTCTTTCCCAGGAGTTTGTAAGTGATTCCTCCTGGCTTGTGACATCATGAGACTCTGCAGCCAGAGCCTCCCCCCACAGATGAGAACAGTTGTTCTTTGCAGATGGGGAGAGGAATGGGTTCCAGATATGAGGTCACCATGTGAAATATACAACACTATAAATAAGATTTTCATAAGCAGGGAAACAGAGTCCATCTGCTTTTTGATATGAACTTTATGTGTGCAGGCCTTGATGGGTAAGATAAAAAGCTAGATAAGAAAAGCTATTTAGATGCTGTTGGAGAAAAGTAAACTTATTAGATACATTTATAAGTATTTGTTAACTTTTATATTCAAATTTAAGTATATTGTGACATCCCTTTTTTTCTCTTCATCCAGAGAAGAAACTTTTATTGAGAGATACTAAGGAGTTATTTTTAAAAATGGGAGTAGAATAATACTTTTGTTTTTAGTACTTCGAACAATAATTTGACATTTCATTGGTGTTTTGCCCTCTGTGGGAATGATGAATCCATAGTGACCAAAGGAATCCCTTTCCTGTGTTTGAACTGGCCAGCAGGAACACATGATCATGTATACATAATTTTGAAAAAAATTTTCTTTGTAAACAAGTTGTCACATTGTACATATGTCCTTTCTCTATAGGTGCAGTATAGGAGATTGTTATAGGATGTGTTGGAAGAAATGAAAGTACGGGATAGGCCTAGAGGGGACTCAGGTTCGGGGTGATGACCAGAGTAACATGGGTATGATGGTAGGATTGGTTGGTTTCCTGATCTCAGATGATACTTTGGCTGAAGGTGGTTTGGGTTGATCCCCTAGAGCAGCCTGAGGCATGATGTCACAGTTTCCCTTAAAATAGAATATTGGTGTAAAGTTGTTATTGGACCTTACAAGAATTCCTAGTCCAGGAAGATAGGACAAGATGGGTTAGTTTCTAGGACCTTCACCATTTGTTTAAAGTGAAATCAGCTGGAGAACATTTGGGTATGAATTAAAGGGAAAAATAGAGGTGATATTACAGTGGACTGCCCCACTATTCAGAAGGCACAAATAATCTTCATAAAATGACAGGCAGGGCCGGTGGGAGAGCTTCAACTCTGTAGCATTCATTAAGTAGCTCATGTTTCTTGACTGTCTACTAAGTTCCGGCACATACCAGTGAGTGTGATAGGTAATTCACTGGGGGAGTCGGGCAAACACAACCTAAGACACAAAGAGGGAATTACAGCATGTGCTGAGCACTGCTAGGGAAGTAAGAAAGATGAGAAAGAAGAATTAGAGCCACTTTCCATGGGGTGGTTAGGCTGCTCTGAGCAGGTGATTTCTGAGCTGAGAGTTGAAGGGTGGAAATGAGCCAGCTCTCAGGAGAATTAGGCAAAGAACATCATCACAGGCAGAGAGACTGGCTTGAGGAAGAATGGCAGGCAGAAAAAAGGCTGGTGTTTTTGAGGAACATGAAGGGAGCTGTTAGACACAGTGAGCAAAGGGAATTAAGATACGGGAATAAGCTGGAAAGTCAGGCAGCTGCCACAGCTAGGAGAGTAGTTCAGTTACTGAAACTGAAGGGGTTCAGTAGGGAGAGGGCATGATGTATTTTATGCTTTAAAAATACCTCTCTGACTGTTGCGAGGTGAATAGACTCGAGTGGAAGCTGGGTGACCATGTGGAAGGCCATTAGAGTAAACGGGGAAAGGTAAGAAGGGTGGTGGCAGTGGAGATGGGAGGGAGTGGATGATGGCGGAGCTGGAACTGGCAGGAGGCTGATGGCTTAAATGTGAAGGCGAGGCAAAGGGAGGAATAAAGCAGGACTCTTAAGTTTTGAGTTGAGCCCCTAGATGGATGATGTTGCCATTAACCGAGGCAGGGAAGACAGAGGGCTGGAAGGTGGTGCTGGGGTGTTGGGGGAAGGGAGCAGATGGCATAAATGAGCAGAGAGGCCCTGGTGATGACCGTGTCAAGCAGAGGCAGTCTGAGGCAGTTATGTGCGAGGACTCTGGAACCAGAATGCTGAGCTTGAATGATGCATGGGTGGGCACCTCTCATACCTCAGTGTTCTCATTGGTGAAAGGGAGGACAGTAGTGCTTACCTTGTAGGATTGATTTGAGGGTTAAATTAACTGATGGATATAAAACTCTTAAAACAGGGGCGCCTGAGTGGCTAAGTGGGTTAAGCCGCTGCCTTCGGCTCGGGTCATGATCTCAGAGTCCTGGGATCGAGCCCCGCGTCGGGCTCTCTGCTCTCTAGGGGAGCCTGCTTCCTCCTCTCTCTCTGCCTGCCTCTCTGCCTGCTTGTGATCTTTCTGTCAAATAAATAAATAAAATCTTTAAAAAAAAAAAACAAAAAAACCTCTTAAAACAGCGTGTAACATGTCATATATTTATATAAGTGTATTTGAGATTTTTTTTTTATTGATATAAGAGAAGTGTTTGCTGTTCAACTCAGGTGGTTGCTGCCACGGAGGGTTAGCCGGTTTTTCAAGAAAATATGGAAATTCATATTTATGTGTGAAATTCCTTTGCTTTAAGTATTCTCAAACATCCTGTAAGCCAAATAAAACATGTTTGTGATTGCCAAGTAATTAGCCTGTTTGAGTGGTATTTTCCTACAGTAACGTTCAGTTCCTTGGGTATAGGCATGGAGAAGGCAGATAGTTGGGGTTAACTGAGAGGGCCTGCTAGTTGAATAGAAGAGTGAGAGTGGACCCAGGACTCAGAGTTTGCAAGGGCAAGAGGTAGTAGCAGGTCATGGCAACTAGGTGGCAAGGTTATGGCAACTAGGTTATGGCAACTAGGTGGCCACACTAAACATAGTGTGGGGACAAAATGCGGTCAGCTCCGTGGGTTGGAAGTCTTAGTGAAGACAAAGAATTATTGAAGTGGGTTTTTTACCTTAAGTGAAATAGAAGGTTAGAAGATTGTGATTAGAAAGTGTGATATTTGAGTTTTCATGTCTGGAGTTGGTATCATTAGCAGTGGTGCCAAGAGACAGCAATGAACATGGGGGGAGAGTGGTTAGGGTGGGTGGAGAAAAAAAGGTGGCTAGAGTGACTGGCTAGGGTTGTCTCATCAACCACATGGATACAAAGTTCTGTTTATAGGAATGGTGGTGCAGAGGAAGACAGTGAGCTACAAGTCGAAGCATTACTGTATCAGGGATACTATCAAAAGGTTTGAAGTTGATAGCACTGAGGACGAGGCAGGAGCTAATGATAGGACTTCAGAGGATCTGGATTTTGATCAAGAATGGAGAGAAAAAAATAATTTTAAAGCTAGAGTGGAGAAGCAGGAGAGAACCTTCTTCTGGTCCCTGAGACACATGGCACAAGAGAGATAGACTCCCTTTGAGAGCACTTCAAGGGTAGTGATCACATCAAGGGGACAGCCAGGTTTCCCTTAAGTCAAGGAGCAGAGGAGCATTCAGAGAGGAGGTGGAGCCCGTAGGAGCCCCACTGATCAAGTCCCAGGGCAGGAAGGGGTTGAGGAGGAAGATGAGTGAAGAGGGATTGGAGTAGATTAGGTGATAGTCATAAAAATGTAGAAATGGAAGTCCTGGACTTTGGAAGGTGAGTAAGACAAAACCTTGCTGGAAGTCTCTTTTAGTTAAAAGACCATTTCTTGACATGGTTTACTGACAGCTACCTTCATTAGGCTGTGGAGTGGACTCTGGTCTGCTGTGAAATTCTGGTAGAAGTTTCTTTTTCCTCAGTATGATTTACACTCCCAAGGGAATCTGTTCCTGAGGTCGGTTTCTTAAGAGTATGCTCCACTCAACCTGCAAATGTTTTTCTTGAACAAGGCTTCTGTCTTCCCCTGTATGCTTTTATATATCAGGGTCTTTGGGATAGACAGTCAAGAACAGAATCTTGAAGGTCCTTTTATTTTTTTTTATTTTTTTTTTTTAAAAGATTTTATTTATTTATTTGACAGAGAGATCACAAGTAGGGAGAGAGGCAGGCAGAGAGAGAGGAGGAAGCAGGCTCCCTGCCGAGCAGAGAGCCCGATGCGGGGCTCGATCCCAGGACTCTGAGATCATGACCTGAGCCGAAGGCAGTGGCTTAACCCACTGAGCCACCCAGGCGCCCTTGAAGGTCCTTTTAATATCCATTCTTTTAAATAGAGCCTAGACAGAGCCCTGAGCAACCTCTCTCCTTTGAGCCCGGTGTTAGCCTCTCCATGTGCTTTGTGCTTAAAAGCCCTCTGACAGCAGAAGGCATTCTTGCCTCTCTTTACTTCCTTAGGTAGTAACCATTCCCTGAGCTGGAAAGGATGATAGAAAAATAGCAGTTGAGGGAGAAAAAACAAAACAAACCTTAGGTCAGAAAGCAGTGCCTAGAATCAGAAAATGAATTTTTAAAAAATTTAACTTGAGCGAATGGGCTTGATTTATTTGGAGTGTCTTCCGCTCACCGGACATATGCTCTGTGAGGGCAGGCTGTTACTCCTCTCCATTGTGTCCCCATCAGGAGGCATAGTGCCTGCCATGTGAATCTTTAGGAGATTTGGATAAATGTAATAAGCGTTTTGTCTTCCTCCAGAAACAACAACAACAACAACAACAGCAACAGCAAAACCAGCTGTTTTAGCTGTGAAATTGCTGTGACATTCATAAAAAAGGGTGGCCTCAGAGAGCTTTGCCTGCCTTGTTTCCCACCCCCTCTTTCTCTTACCCTAAGCAGAGTGACAGCATGATGGGAGACGAGTGTTTGCCCTCTTAAGCACTCTTGCTCACATGGTCTTTGCCTCTGTTTCCCTTCTGATTTATTGGCAAGTTTTTCTCCTCCATCAAGGACCAAGTCAGATGCTGTCCATGGAGCCTTTCCCAGTGGCCCCAGCTGCAAGTCAGCTGTATCCTCATTTATGGCAGCCTTCATATTTTACCTCATAAACAAGGACTGAGCTTGATCACCACTCTCTCTCCATATTGTCTCAGTGTCTTGAGTATAGTATTCAATAAATCTTGAATTAAGTCTACATGGGATGTTAACAATAGCATAAGCTGTTGTGTGGAAATTCATAATGTAAACACACATGGTGCACCAGTGAAGGGGAGAATATTTTCTCCTTTATTTTGTTCCCTCACCTGTTTTGCTAATTAATGTCTCTTTGAGTCTTCCAGCATTTTAGGGGGTAAATGTTATTTGAAACACTTTCTCAAGACACCCTTTGAGGCTGGCTCTTAGGAAAACAACTGCCTCTCTCCATGTGTTTCAGTGGCCTTCAAATGCAGCTGGAACCTTGGGAGGCTTACAGCTTCCTGCAAGAGCCTAAAATACTGCTATTGAAGACGGCCCCCATCTGCACCTCTATGCGTAAATAGAAGCAGACCCTGACTTGGTGCTGGAATAACATGAAGGTGAAGGCAGACTGGGTGGCCTGCCTGTCGGAGCCAGGATTCCCATTTACATTAAGAGCTAGTTCTGGACCATTTTGAATTATTGACTCATTCAGCTCTGTAGAAGGGCCAGAGTAAAACATATGCATCTGGTCTCTCAAGGTTAAGTATCCAGGTTGGAAATCAACCTGTATCCTTTCGAAAATTGTCACGGAAACAAGCAAGCGTGGAAAGGTCTCAGTGAATAAAAAAGGCCATTATGTAGTGAGGTGTAATCCCCATATAATCTTGTTCTTAAAGTAAAGGTTGCAGTGTGAAGCCTAGCATATGGGGGCACAAAAAAATCCCAGTAGCTGCCGCTTTCCCACTCCAGGCCAAGCTCTCCTCCTTCTCACCTCTGCCTGTTCACAGCCAGGTGCCAGTGTGGCCTTTCAGTTTTTGATGGAACCCTGTGTTACAGACATCAGTAGAAATCACATTTCATGCATTTAATGAGTAGTTCTCCTATGCCTAAGTTGTTTTGTAGATTGAGCTGTTTAATTAATTCAGAAACTTTTTATTGAAGAATAACATGTATGGTAATCTTCTAAGTGGATAACTAGTTAAATTTTCACAGATTTCATTTTTTTATTTTAAAGGGTGTATTGAGAATTAATCCAAAGAAGTTTCATGAAGCCTTCATTCCTTCCCCGGTAAGTTCAATGACTTCATAATAAACTTAATGTCACATTTAATTTTTTAAGTGTGCTCCGAAACTGAAATCATATATTCTAACTAAAAAGCAGAGTAATAAAACAAAATCAGGATGGGCAAGGATTTGTTTCAAATTTAAATAAGCACAATTTGCCTTTGGTTAACAAACCCTCTGCCAGTAGTAAACTCAAAGTGCGAGTGACGGGGATGGCGTTTGTTACTAGGGCTGCGGTGAGCAGCTGACCCCGCACAGACACCCACCAGTGTTTGTAGCTGGACACCCTTGGTTTATAGCTTAAAGGGATTTATGAGTTTTCCCACTGATTTAATTTTAATCTTTCCCAAACAAATATGCTATCCACTTTCGATCTACTGCATGAGCTAATCTGCAAATTTGTCCAAAAAAAAAAAAAAAGGGTAATGCTTTTTTCTTTTGGTCAGAGTTTCTCACTTCACTTTTTCTGCAGGTGATAGGACTTGGTCCAAGGCTCTTCACCGTTGGGTCTTTATATCCTTTCTTCTGTTCATGACTCATTTTACCAGGCTCTTTGCTCTGACATATAGTTCACAGGAGGTCTCTGGATAAGGCTGGATTTTGCAAAGCTAGGATAGCAATGTTCTCAAATTCCCGACATGACTTTTCCAGGCTGCTGTAAATAAGATAGCTGTAGAATTTTAGATGTTTTAGCAGTGGAGTAGAGCATAGGAGTAAACTTGAGCTTATAGATGAGGAAATGGAATACGTATATGTATTTCAGTTAACATACTTCATGATGTTCAATAACGAGTTGAGTGACAATACAAGTTTAGTCATGTGCTTCCCCAGTGGTGGTGGTTTCCAGTAACCTTAAGGCCTGTTCTCAAGCTCAGTTTAGTTCTTTTTTCCCCCTTGCCCTACAGAAGTCAAGGATCCACATTCGTATCTCAGGTTCCATCTTATCCAGTGGATTAGATAAAAAGTATCACTGACATGTCACCGTGTACTCTCTGAACCCTGTTCTGCTTCCGTGACAGACCATGCTGTGTATTCTGACAGCTGAGGGTCAGCTTTGAGACAGTGACTTAACTGCAGGGGCAGGTTTGTCCTCCCACGGAAGCACAGTTGACATGGTGTTTGATTCCCGACTTTGCTTATAAGGTAAAAATCATATTCAGTAATCGTAAAAATTACCCATGAAAATCTCTTAGGAATATGCCATGTTAGAGACAAATAATCTCTTAGTAAGTCCCACATAACTAGCATTTTCTCTACTTTAGAAAGAATAAATCTTTCTTCATTGGCATACCAGTTGAGGGAGCTCAATTATAATAGGGTCCTGAAGTATGAAGAACATGAGTTACTAAGCATGAAAATCATGGTCAGTGGAGTAAGGAGTTCATCCTGAGAGACAGCTGGGAGCTGAGCAGATTACAAGCCTCCCATCTCCTGTGTGCACTGAAGTTTGCTGTCATTGACTGGAATGTTAAGGGGAACTACATAGAGCATTTTGAAAATCTAACTGCTTGCTTGTTTTCTTCCCTGAGTACACGGTATTGAACTTCCCTACGTTAGATCCGTGGTAGGCTGGTTCCTGGCAAGTGTGGGACCTAGGACAAGAGTACAAAAGGAGGCACACATACCTTATATTAAATATTTAGATGTTAGGGATGCTTGGGTGGCTCAGCCGGTTGGGTGGCTGCCTTCAGCTCAGTTCATGATCCCAGGGTCCTGGGATTGAGTCCTACATGGGAGTCTTTGCTCAGTGGGGAACCTGCTTCTCCCTCTGCCTCCCACTCCCCCTGCTTGTGCTCACTCTTTCTCTTTGATTTAAAAAATAAATAAATAAATAAATTTAGAAGTTATATATATCAAACTAACAAACTGTTAGGTAAAATACATTCATGACAAATAAAATATATTTCTTGTTAAATATACCTCTGTGTACCTGGGTTCAAATGTAGAGTTCTCACACTCCTTGGAGCTCCATCCTAGAGTGTGGCCAGATGGAGAGGGTCTGCCTCTGGCCTGCCCCTCTTCCCTTCCTAGTCCTAGCTCCCTGTCCCCTCTTTGCTGTCTCCATTGCCTCCCCCCGCCCATTAAGGGCCCTTGCATGCATCTGTTTGAGCATCTTATCCCACATGTCTAAGTTCTGTCCACATGCCTTAGAAATACCTGCCCTTTAAGCACCTGTTAAGTCCACTGGGTGCCATAGGTGCCACCAGTGACTGTGGTCTGTCTCCAGGCAGACAGACCTGGGGAAGATGCTTATGTATGCCTTGGAAGTGGGCTGGGACTGATTAACCCAGGATGCACATCCATTTGGCCCTCAGATCTCTTCACTTTTGGGGAGGAGTGTGACTGGAGAAGGGCCAGGGAAGAGATCCTCTAAATTGTGGGGCCTAGTTAGGTGCCTATAATTTAAATTCATCTGATTTATAGGTGCAAATGATTTGTTGCCACAGTTTAATTTGGCTTGTTACAAGAAGTTAAGAAGCATAAGTTACTAATGTTTCAAAAGCCCAAGTTGTTCTCCTACTTGGATGGGATATTCCTGGAATGTCCTATTAAGAAACTTTTAGACAGTTGTGTTATTAGGATTGGCTTATTTTTATGCCCCCTATTCTCGTATTTGGCCACTAATGGAGTAGTAATGTTGTCTCAGAGGGAGAAGAAATGTTAAAAGGTTCACCTCTAAGTAACTAAGAACTGACTATAAAAGCTCTATCAAGGCCCAGTTGTGAGTTTTGGTTGTAGATACTGGAACAATCCTACATTCTAGTTTTGTGGGGATTTTGGTGAGTTTCATTGTTTAGAAGCATTCTAGAAAGCATTGAGGGAGGAGATAGTAGAGGCAATAAATTATATGTAGTTAAATCCCACAACCACCACTGGTCTGGATTTATGGGTATATGTAGCTCATGTCTATGTCAAGTGTGAACTGGTAGAAACTGGAAGAATGTTCACTGGTGGATTAGGAGTAGAATAGCAGAACCAGGGCCTGAATGTTACCTGTCCCCTGCTTAAGCAGGGAGAGTAAAGACAGGAGTTGTTAGAAAAGAAGATGTAGCCTTTGCTCTGACAATAGGAAATTGAAAAGTTTACTTATTTATAAAACTAGCAATGGATTAAATTGTCTAATGTTCCTTACAACTTTAAAATTCTGAATTCTAATTTAAAATTATAAAGTTTTTGGAGAGACAAAAATAGACTAGATTTGTTTATTTAGGTTCTTGCTGACTTTTACAAAAAGCACAGGTTCCATTCTGAATTATGTTGATGCAAGAAGTTTTATAAGTTTTTTTGTGCATCTTGTCATGGGAGGCACCCTTTGAACATCTGTGGAATGTATTTTGTCCAAAGGGAGCCATTCCATCGATAGAGAATGCTCTTGGTTTGTCCTCCCTGCTTGGAAACTTCCTAAGTATTTAGTTGATTACCCCCAGATGCCATTATGTTTCCTCTAGGATGGTTCATTATCCATTTTCCTTTTTTTCTAGTAGAGCTAGTCTTTGACATTCAAATAAAGAACTGAACTCTTTAGCCTTTAAAAGTAATTAAGTGTGATGAATTGAACTTTTAATATTGAGTTGTTCCCAAGTTTATGGTCTTTAAGAGATTCTGCAATAGGTATGGGCTTCTGAGTGAATCCACTAAGAGCTGAGCAGTGACGCAATACCTGGAGATTGGTGTATTGTCTGAGGTTCAGCTCGGCCCTGCTCTTCTGGATTTCTTTGGATGGGAATGTGGCAATACTAGTACCTTATCATCTTAAATCTCTGAGCTGTCTGGGGGTGGTGTACCTGTTTATGAGAGAGGCATTTTATTTCATGTGTTTTGACTATATGATCATGGGTTGGGATGACCTCCAAACAGCTCTCTCTTCGTTCCGGGGAAGTTGGAGAGCCCCATTTGGTACATAAATTGCAGAAGGTAGCGATTGATGACCACGTGCCACCCTGCAGTTGTACATGTTCTGTTTGATGGTTGCCTCTTCCTTATTCCTCCAAGAAGCTCAACATAAGGCCAACTGCAGTGATTCTGTCTTTGTGGCTAACATGGTAGCGGTCCCTCAGGGACTAGGGTGGGGCAGGTTTGGCAATGTGTGTAGGCCACAGCTGTCTGCCCATGGTTAGGTTGGAAACTGAACAGAAAAACTGTTCTAAAACCTCTCTCATGGTTTGTAATTGGAAACTATAAAAATGCTGAGTGTCTAAAGTCCCATTTTTGGTGTTGGCCAGGCAGGTTTGGTGAATTTGGGATGCTAATTTTAACTTTAACTGAAATGTTACAGTAATCAACTGTAGTCTGGTAAGTACTTAATCTTATCTATACCAAGTGTCTCTACCTACAAAATTTTGAGTGGTGGTTTTCTAAGCCTATTTGCTATTACTTCCTTTAAGAAAAATGAACATTTCCATGGGCACTCGAGAAGAATGTGTATACTTTTGCTTTGGGATGGAATGTTCTGAATATATCTGTGAAGTCCATCTGGTCCAGTGTGTCATTCAAAGCCGTTATTTCCTTGCTGATCTTCTGCTTAGATGATCTGTCCATTGCGGTAGGGGGGGTGTTAAAGTCCCCTACTATTACTGTATTATTATCAATGTGTTTCTTTGATTTTGCTATTAATTGGCTGCTCGCACATTAGGGACATAAATATTTACAGTTATTAGATCTTCTTGGTGGGTAGACCCTTTAATTTTGATATAGTGTCCTTCCTCATCCCTTGTTATGGTCTTTTGTTTAAAATCTAATTTAACTGATACAAGGATTGCCATACCAGCTTTCTTTTGATGTCCATTAGCATGATAAATTGTTTTCCACCCATCATATCGATGGGTCAGCTTTTTTATCCAATTTGAAACCCTGTGTCTTTTGATTAGGGCATTTAGCCCATTTACATTTAGGATAACTACTAAAAGATATATGAATTTAGTGCCATTCTATTGCCTATAAGGTGACTGTTACTGTATATCCTCTCTGTTCCTTTCTGGTCTGTGTTACTCGTGGGCTCTCTCTTCTTTTAGAGGACCCTTTTAATATTTCTTGCCAGGCTGGTTTGGCGATCACAAATTCTTTTAGTTTTTGTTTGTCCTGGAAGCTTTTTATCACTCCTTCTATTTTGAATGACATCCTAGCTGGATAAAGTATCCTTGACTGCATATTTTTCTCATTTAGCACCCTGAATATATCATGCCAGTCCTTTCTGGCCTGCCAGGTCTCTCTGGATAGGTCTGCTGCCAGTCTAATGTTTCTACCCTTGCAGCTTACAGATCTCTTCTACCCGAGATGCTTTCAGGATTTTTTTCTTTGTCTCTGAGATTTGTAAGTTTCACTACTATATATTGGGTGTTGACCTATTTTTATTGATTTTGAGGGGAGTTTTCTATGCCTCTTGGATTTTGATGCCTGTTTCCTTCCCCAGATAGTGAAGTTCTCTGCTATAATTTGCTCCAGTATACCTTCTGCCCCCTCTCTCTTCTTATTTGGGATCCCAATTATTCTAATATTGTTTTGTCTTATGGTATCACTTATCTCTTAAATTCTCCCCTTATGATCCAGTAGTTATTCATCTCTCTTTTTCTCAGCTTCTTTATTCTCCATTATTTTGTCTTCTATATCACTAATTCTCTCTTCTGTCTCATTTATCCTAGCAGTTAGAGCCTCCATTTTTTATTACACCTCATTAATAGCCTTTTAAATTTTGACTTGATTAGATTTTAGTTCTTTTATTTCTCCAGAAAGGGATCCTCTAGTGTCTTCTATGCTTTTTTCAAGCCCAGCTGGTATCTTTTTAATTGTTATTCTGAACTCTAGTTCCAACATGGTGAATTTTTCCATCTTGTCATTCTGTCCAGAGAAGAATAGATGAATAAGAGAACAAAATACTAAAATGGCAACAATGACCCCAGAGAAATTGACACTAAACAAATCAGAGGGGACCCAGACCTGGAAAAAAAAAAAAAAAAAGAAAGAGAATATAATCAGGCAGGTGGACAAAAAGAGCAATACATTGGATCCTGTATGTATTTTGGTCTGTTTGTTAGAAAACTAAATGCCAAAGTTGTAAAGAAAGAAAAACTTAAATATGTACAAAAATAAAATTAAATACAATGAAAGGATAGAATGTAATTGTAAAAATGAACATTAAAAGATTCCACCCCCCCCCACACACAAAAGGAATATAAACAGACAGGTGAACAGAACAAAGCAATACTGTAAATCCTGAGTGTATTTTGGTTGGTTTGTTAGAAGAAACTACATCTTGAAACTGTAAAGAAAGAAAAACTTATATACATACAAAAATTAAATTAAATACATTGAGAGGATAGAATGTAACTGTAAAGATGAAAATGAAAGACTTTAACAATAATAACAAAAAAGAATATGATCAGACAGGTGAAAAGAATAGAGCCATACACTAGATTCTGGGTGTATTTTGATCTGTTTATTAGAAGAAACTGTATCCCCAAATGAAATATATATATATATTTCATATATATATATATGCGCACATACACACACACACACACACACACACAAAACTAAAATTAAAAGATAGAATTTAACTGTAAAAATGAAAATTAAAAACCATTTTAAAAAAGAAGTTGACAGGCCCTCTCTGTCTCCTCGGCCCTGGGAGCAGCTCTCTTGCCGCAGCCCCTCATTCCCTGAAAATGTACGCCTGTGCAAAGTTCGTCTCCACCCCGTTCTTGGTCAGGAGCACCTCTCAGCTGTTGAGCCGATTGCTGTCTGCAGTGGTGCTAAAACCACCCGAGACACTGACAGATGAGGCACCTTATAAGGGCCTCAGCATCTTGGCAGCCCCACGTCCCCTGACCTCACTTATTCCTAGCCGAAGCTTCCAAACCAGCGCCATATCAAGGGACATTGATATAGCAGCCAAGTTCATTGGGGCTGGGGCTGCCATGGTAGGGGTGGCTGGCTCTGGGGCTGGAATTGGGACTGTGTTTGGGAGCCTCATCATTGGTTATGCCAGGAATCCCTCTCTGAAGCAACAGCTCTTCTCCTACGCCATTCTGGGCTTTGCCCTCTCGGAGGCCATGGGGCTCTTTTGCCTGATGGTGGCCTTTCTCATCCTCTTCTCCATGTGAAGGAGCTGTCTCCACCTCCCATAGGTCTTTCTCCCGTGTCTCGTCTGCCCTGTATAATCCTTTTCCTATACCTCCCCAGGCAGCCTGGGGAAAGTGGTTGGCTCAGGGTTTGACAGAGGGAAGACAAATAAATACTGTATTAATAAGAAAAAAAAATAAAAATAAATAAAAAAGAAGTTGGCAAAATAAATTCACTGAAAAAGAAAAGAGAGGATACCTGGGTGACTCAGTTGGTGGGGTGTCTGCCTTCGACTCATGATCCCAGGGTCCTGGGATGGAGTCCTCCTTTGGGTTCCTTGCTCAGAGCCCCAGTTATTTCTAATAATACACTTCTCAGGGGGCCTGCTTCTCCCTCTGCCTCCCAATACCCCAGTTGTGCTTTTTCCTCTCTCTCTCTCATTCTGACAAATAAATAAAGTCTTAAAAAAAAAAAGAAAGAGAAAAAATTTAAAATTGAAAGACTAAAGAGTCTTGAGGAAAAAAACATGAATTCTGTATACTATTTTCCCCATTGGAGCATTGGAGTTTTGCAGTTTTCTGTGATAGGTAAACTTGGCCTTAGTTGGTGTTCTTGCTGGTCTTCTGGGGGAGGGGCCTGTTATGCTGATTTTCAGGCGTCCTTACCCGGGCAGAATTGCACCAGCCTTGCCAGGGGAGGCAGGTTAATCTGCTCCAGATTGCCCTATGGTGGCTTTGTTCCCTGAGGGGTTTCCACCTAGCTTTAGAGGATGAGAATGAAAATGGCAGCGTCCCAATCTCCTGGAGCCAAAAGCTTGGGGGCCCCCCTCCTCATAGTGCCCACAGGGAAAAGCAGTCAGTCACTCCCGGGTCTCTGTTGGTACCCTCTGCTCACCCAGCCTGTGACTGAGCTTTTCTACCTCTGGCACATGACCCCCCTTAGAGTCTCCAAACCCTGCAGACTGCTGCATCTCACAAACATGCTGCTCCACCTGGGGGTGGAAGGGGAATCTCCTGCTGGTTCTGTCGCTTGCTGGGCCCCTGCTTCAGGAGGGGTCACCCAACTGTGCTGTGGTTTGGGGTTTATGGCAACCCCAAGCTGAGAGCCCACTCCTGGGCTTGGTGATTGCAGCCGGCTTCCCTGCTCTGATGCCTGGGAGCTCTGCTTCATTCAGGCGCCCCTGGTCTTTCTGTGACTCCAAGGATCCTGAGACCACACTGTCCCTAACCTGGGTTATTTGTAAGCATGTGATTGAGGACAAAGGTGTCCATGCCTTGTGTTCATGGTGGGGAGTTCACCCTGCTCCTCAGTCAGAGAGTGAAGGAGCGTGAGAATGCTTCATGAATCTCATGTCCCTTTCCTTTTCTTCTTTGCCTTCTACTTGGATCTCTATAAAAGTAACTGCAATTTGCTTTCTCTGTCATTTTTTCAGTGGGAGGATTATGATTTTGCTGGTTTCCTCCTTGGAGAACTCAAATCCTGGAGTTGGTTCTTGCTACTGTCCTTGCAGCTGGTTTTCTTAGGGAATTATATTTTGTTGTTCTGTTTTCTTGCAAACCTTCTAAGTTTTACCCTTCTTTGATACTTAAAAAAAATTCAGTTAGTGTAGAAAAGGTATCATCATGCTTTATTTAAAACAAGGAAGGATAACTTACTCCTTTCTCATTTCAGTTATGAAAGCATGTAGTCTCAGTTTTTTGCTTTATTTATTTTTGTTTGGTTTTGGCTTGACTGTAGGAGATCTTCTCTTATGTTTTTGAAATTTCTTTAACATTCTTTTAACCTGCTTTTATGTGTTCATCCCTGTTTCTATTAGTTCCAGAGACTGATTTCCCTCTTAGTGTTCTTGTTAAGCCCGTGGACAGATTGTAGAGTCTACAGTTTTTAAACCAAAGAAGTAATATTCGGTTCCAGGTCTTGGTAAGCTGACTATTTTCTCTCTCCAACCTAGGATGGTGATCGAGACATTTTTATCGATGGGGTTGTTGCTCGTAATAGAGCCTTGAATGGGGATCTGGTGGTCGTGAAGCTGCTTCCGGAAGAGCAATGGAAGGTGAGTTAAATTTTCCTTTTCTAATAATAACCTTCTCTCAGGGCCTTTTTATTCCATGGTGCATCTGTGAGACATAAACTGGAGCAGTCACGGACTCCTCAGGTCCTGTGGTTGCCTCAGAAGCAGGCCATGCAGTGCCTGGAACTTAGAAGCATCTGCTGGGCAGTCATCTAATGATTTGAGTTGTTCTCCTTGCTCCCTCCCTGTGATCTGTCTTCCCTGTCATATGCATTGCATTGATTTCTGATAATTTTTAGGATAGAAGAAAAGCTTACAGGGTACATTCAAACTTCTGACATGTATTACTTTCCCACATTTAATGGTGGGAGAACTGAAAAGACAAAGGCATGGGCGTGGTGGCAGTCTTCACATGTTCTTGCTTCCTCTACGGGAAAACCTGGGCAACATGTACCTTTTTCTGTAGGTTTCACTTTGGTGATTGGGCTTCCCTTGGCAGACAAAAATAGACCCTCTCTTTTTATAAAACAGAGATCTGGTGGCAGAAGAAAATGTTTTTAACTGGAAAATATCCTGGGTTTCAGGCTCCATATATGTCTAGTCAATTGAAAAGAAAAATGTGGTTTTTGACTATTTTTAAATAAAGATCAGGCACTAGAATGATTCATAGTAGCAGTTTCTTTGAATTGTCATGTAGAACTGGCAACTTGTGGGTCCAAATCTGGGTATTTCTTTATAGCATTTCTTCAGATCTCTTATTTTGTCTCAATTCGCTGGTATTGAGAAATATGGTGTTGCCTTCAGTGAGAGGTAGGTACTGTAGGGATTAATAGAATGGGCTTTTAGGCTAGGCTCCTTGGGTTTGAATCCCATTTCTGCCACTCATCTGTATAACCGTGGGTGAATTATATAACCCCTCTGTGCCTCAAAGCCCTCATCTATAAAATGGGAATAATTATAGTACCTACTTCATGGGTTTGTCATGAAGATTAAATGAGAATACATGTAAAAATGGTGCCTGACCCATGGTAGCAGTTCAAGCAATGTCAGTTTTTATTATTATCTTTTACAAAAATAGAAATACTACCTTATTTCAGAGCTTTGTCAAGACAAATTTGTTTTTATCTGATAGGGCTAGAGTAACTGACTTAGAATGGACATTTGTAGGGTGTAGGTATGTTAATAATGATCAAGAGAGATATAGCTCTTGCCTTCATGGAGCTTTTAGTCTGATGGGGAGTGCAGGTAGGAAGAGACAGGTATTAATCACACACAGATTAAGGATAATTATGATTAATGCCGTGAAGTTAAGTGCAGAGTGTTTTATAAGAGTCAGTTATCCTAGTCCTGATCCCCCAGCCCATCCCCAGTTGCTGCCAGCTGTGGTTATATCCTCCCTTGATTTCCCAAAAGCACAGCTAACAGTTGGTTCCAGGTCCTAGGAACGTAGATTGATTTAGGCCACTTCCTCTTTTCTGGAACACATCTAGCACAGTGTTAATGAGATCTAAGAAGACAAGAAGAGTGCATTAGGGCCTGGTCAGACTAAAGAAGTATTCCTAGAGGTCATTTGAAGGAGTAAAGAGGCAGAATTAGAGTGAAGATGATCCATAAGGAACAAGAAAGATGGTGGTTTCCTTTGACTTAAGGAATGAGAATGGGTAGAATAGAAAGAAATAGAAGAGTAATTAGCAAATTGGGTGAGTCTAGAGCTGACCAGAGCAGGTGTAAGGTGTTGACTTGTTGGAAATAATAGGAATGGAGAGCACATAGCAGAGCACCACAGGTGCTCTGCAGAGGTAGATGAGGTTGATTCAAAGAGAGCAAGGCCAAGTTGCCCAGCATCCTTCCTACCTTGGCTGTGGCAAGGGATGGCTAAAAAAACAAACATATGAATAAATAAATTGGTTGAATTATTTTCTTTGTTTTTCACCTCATTTGTATTTTTAAAAGATTTTATTTATTTATTAGAGAGGGAGAGAATGAGAGAGAGAGCATGAGTGGAAGACAGGTCAGAGGGAGAAGCAGACCCTCTGCTGAGCAGGGAGCCCGGTACGGGACTCGGTATCGGGACTCCAGGATCACGACCTGAACTGAAGGCAGTTGCTTAACCAACTGAGCCACCCAGGCGCCCCCACCCCATTTGTATTTAAGACCAGCAAGCATAGCCTCTCCTGGTATTATCAGATGTACTCTTGCTTTGGACAGGAAGCCTGACAAGATGAGAGTAGTTTGGAGGTGAAGGTGTTGTTGTCAAGTTGTAGAAGGATAGCTTAGGACTTCAGCATTCTTATTTATGCCTTGGTGCCTTTGCTTCTAGACAAAAACCTACCTCCTTGAGATTCAACACAGCAGAGTTGTGTTTTTTCCCAGGAGGCCTATGTTCGTGATTTTGTAATTCCTAGGTCACTGGAGCTAGTTAGGCAGATAAGATTTTACTGAAATTCTTACAGTGTTCCCACAGTCCGTATAGGCAGGCTACATTAACACAGCTTGTTGTTTTTCTGGTTTACAGTTAATATCTAAAGGCAGAAGAGATTAAGGGCCACATGGGAGTTTTAAGCCCAGGAGTGACATGGTGTTATTTAGCCAAAATCACTCTGGCTACTATTAGGAGAATGGAATGTAGTGGGGGCAATATGTGTTGACATGGCCAGTTAGGAGACATATACTGGGTCATGACAGTAAAGATGGAGAGAGGTAGGGATACATTTTGAAAGTAGAGCTGATGGGACTTGAAGATGGATTTGAGGAGTAGGATGAGTAAAAGAGGGGGGAAACAAGGTTTAAATTCTGGTTTAAGCAAAATAGGTGAGTATGATGTCATTAATTAAAATGAGGAATAGTTAGGGACAAGCATGTTTGGGTGCAAAAATTGTGAGTTTTGCTTGGCCATATTAAGTTTTAATTTCTTTTCAGACATGTTAATGGAGATGTTGAGAATGTACGGAGGCGTAGATGGCTCATTACTCATAAATTCTACTAAACATTTAAGAAAGAAATAATCCTGAGTCTACGCAGACGATTTCAGAAAATGCAAGAGGAAGAAATCTTTTTTTTTCTTTTTTTTAATAGGAATTGTTATAATTTAATCTCTTAACAACTTTCCTATATAACAATACAAGAACTCTTTTTCAACTTATCCTATGAAGGCAGCATTGCCTTAATATCAAAACTAGGAAAAGACAGTATAAGAGAAGAAAGCTATAGACCAGTACTCCTCACAAGCATAGTTGAAAAAGTCCTCAACAAAATATTAGCAGATAGAATCCAATAACCTATTATATTAAAAGGGTAACACAACATGAGCAAATGGGTTTTATCACAGGAATGCAAAGTTGGTTTAATATTTGAAAAGCAATTTGATGAAATTCACTGTATTAACAGATTAATAAACACCATATTTCAGTCAATGTCATCGTTTTAATAGATGCAGAAAATACAATTGACAAAAGTCCACAACCATTCATAATAAAAACTCACAGCAAACTAGGAATAAAAGATTATTTCCTCAGGCTGGCAAAAGAACACTTAGGAGATACTTAAAACTAGCACCATTCTTAGTAAGGTAAAAGACTAAATGCTTTTCCTCCAATATTGGGAATGAGGTAAGAATGTCCCTTCTCATCCCTTTTATTCAACACTGTACTGGCTATTTATAGCCAGTACAGTAAAGAATAGAAAAAAAGCATTCAGATTGAAAAGGAAGAAGTAAAACTCTCTTTATTCTCAGATGATATGATTTTCTACCTATAAAATCCTAAGGAATTGACAAAAAGCTGCTAGAACTAGTAATGAGATTACCAAGGTTGAAGGACAGAAATTTGATATTAAAAAAATCAATTTTACTTCTACATATTAGCAATGGGAAATTAGAAATTAAAAAATTTATTGAAGTATCTATTTAATAGGATCAAAATTATGATATACTTAATTTTGACCAATTACAAGACATATACGCTAAAACTATGAACATCATTGGGAAAAATTATGTAAGACTTCAGTAAATGGTGAGAAATACCATGCTCTTGAATTAAAAGACTCAATATTGATAAGATGCCATTTCTATTCAGATTGATCTATAGATTAAGCACAGTCCCAAAGAAAATCATAGCAGCCTTCTTCTTCTTCTTTTTTTTTTTTTTAAGATTTTATTTATTTACTTGACAGACAGAGATCACAAGTAGGCAGAGAGGCAGGCAGAGAGAGAGGAGGAAGCAGGCTCCCTGCTGAGCAGAGAGCCCGATGCGGGGCTCGGTCCCAGGACCCTGGGATCACGACCTGAGCCGAAGGCAGAGGCTTTAACCCACTGAACCACCCAGGTGCCCCCATAGCAGGCTTCTTTATAGAAATTAACAAACTGGTTATAAGATTTATATAGTTGTGTGGAGGGCCTAGGATAGCCAAAACAAAGAAGAACAAAATTGGAGGCCGCTTATTACCTGATTTCAAGAATTACTATAAAGCTCTGGGAATCAAGACTGTGTGGTAATGTCAAGATAGACATATAGATCAATAGAGCAGAATAGAGAGTCTTGAAATAGACCTATATGTATATGATTAATTGATTTTCTACAAAGGTGTCAAGGTAATTAAGTGTAGAAAGGATCTCTTTTCAACAAATATGCTATTACAATTGTGTAGTCATATAAAAAATAGTGAACTTTGACCCTTACCTTGTACCATTTGCAGAAATTAACTTGAAATGGATTGTAGATGTAAATGTTTGTGTAAAAAGCACGAACTTTCTGTAAGAGGGGAAATTTTTAGTGATCTTAGATTTGATAAATATTTCTTAAATATGAAACATTAAAAAAATCAATAAATTTGACTTAATCAAAATTGCAAACTTTTGCTCTTCAGTAAACACTGTTATAAAAAGGCAAGCCACAGACTAGGAGAGAATATTTATAAAACATTTATCTGATCTACCAAAGACTTTTATCTAGACTGTAAATAACTCTTTTAAGTCAGTAACAGACAACTATTTAAAACTGTATTAAAGATTTGAAGAGATACTTTACTAAATAAGATATAGGGAT